TTATTATTATTATTATTATTATTATCATTACTTACTCCAAGAAGGGCACCCGTTCGTTGAGGGCACGTTCCTTGGCGCCTTTGAAATCCGCACCACTGGCGATCAGCCACGCCATTTCCTGCGTCCACGTGGTTCCTGCGAAAGGAAGGCCCATTGTACTTATTGAAATAATAGACATAAAAAAGCACCCTGGTTGCGCTAGATGCCTTCCAATGTTCGCCAAAACTGCATAATAAGTCGGTTCACAATTTGTACACATGGTGTGTCTAAAATCAATTGCTACAGCACAGTAAGCGTTAATAGGCGATGCACGCGTAACGTTGGTTGTCGAAGATAGCGGTTGCATGGCAAAATTATAAACATTGGTGTTACAAACTGTGGTACATAATTTACACATTATTCTTATCTGTTAACTAATAATCTAAGGTTATAAATTGATTTCTACCAATACGTAGAAAAAATTACTTCACCAAATGAAACGCGTTAATAAAAAATCGTTTATATTATTCTTTTTTAATCAAAAACTTTATTGAAAACTAGTGAGTCCTCTTACCTGGTTTGTAAACTTGCGTCTGTACGGGGATGTGCAAGTTGATAGCGGGTACGAAACAGCATTTCGGCGATTTCCATACCCAATGCTCAACTTTATTTTCATAGTCTTGCTACTGCTGAACCTGATAAGTCTCCCTCAGCTAACGTTACAGGGTAGTCTTCTGTGCGTGGGTGGGGATAATGAGGTGAAACTGAACTTGTTCTTCTAGAGCTATGTCAAGTACTGGTTGTATTCTAAATTATTATGTGATCTCACCTTCTTTGACCTTAAAACACAATATGATTTTGTCCCCCTGCTTTGGTTATTTCTTCTTTGTTTTCTTTCGAGTTTTTAAAAATTAACACAATTTTTTTGTTGAAAATGTGTGGTCGGAAAAACTGCGCGTGCGATCTTTTAACAATCTGAGGAGCAGACATAGAAGCAGCAGGCCAATGAAGCAGCAACAGGACAGAATCCACTGAAACTGTTTCATCATGTTCAGCAATGGCTAGGCGACGAAATGTTAACGGGGCACTAGGGATAGAAAACATCCAAACGCAGAATCGTACCCACAACCACCTTGTAAAAATAGTGTGTTAAAAAATTTCGAAGTCTATTCTGGGCGACGAAGATTATCTATATTGCTATGCAAAACTTTGATGAGTAAAAGCCAATACATAGTCAACAATCACAGAACCTTTCACAAGGTCTAATTTTTGCAACGTGATACAATATTAAGCATTATAATAGTTGTTACCTGACCACATAATTCTTTTAAGGATCGTTAGGGATTGTTTCTGTAGTGGGACGAAGATGAGGACAGGACATGGATGAGGAATTGCGAAGATATTATGTATGATATTGTAATAAAATAGATTTATAATGTATTCATGAAAGTTTTACCATTCCTACTAGTGAAGTGTAGTGCAAGAAACCGAGGTGTGTGTCATATGTGATTTATTGTTTCAATATGCATTTTTTAATGCTTTGTAGTATTCTCAAACTATAAAAAACGGCATATACCTGTTAAGCAAGAAAAGAAAACACTAAAATAGCGAGGAATATTTAATTATCTTGAAAAACTTGTGGCTAGATTTGGTTTAGTGTACAAGATATCTACATTATTATACGAGAAAAATAGGAGCGTCAACGCCTGACGAGGCATCTCTCTTGACCTTTGCGTATGGCGAGTTGCCTACCATTCAGGCAATATTTTCCGTGCATTATTAATAACCACGATTCGACGTTAAGGAGCGAATTCTCTCAACTACTGCGACATGATCCAAAATTATGATAATGCAAATAATGTGAATGGTAATGTACCCAACACAACTATTGTTACACTGCATTTTATTAGCGTATAGTAAGAAACGTATATTCTTTAATGAGCATCATTCCACTTCATTATCAGCTTCAATTTGATGCACTATTTCATATTCAGTCTTTTTCGTAATAGTTACTGTTTAAGCAAGTGATTAGGTCTGCGGTGAAACTTAAATTACAATATCCCAAAGTGAAGAAAAAAATTGATTATAAATAATACTCCTTGGATTAAGAACAGTTTAAATTTTCTTCATTAATAGCGTTTATTTTATTAATTCAATTTACCCTTGTGGTTCTACAACATCTCACACTTTCAAGCATTATTTTTAACTGTTGCAATTTTAGAAAATTCGGGGAGTTCAACGGATTTGTGATCTACATTTTCAAGCTCACTTTGCTCTATCCAGAACAAAATTAAGAAATCTTTTGGAACCGTTTTCGCTAAAAATCTATAATTTACCTGTGCTAATAGAAAAGAAATGATCAATTTAAAATAAAATATGATTTACAAAATGACTTAAATGATAAAATTATTGTTTAACGCTTTAGCGTCTATAATTACTGTGAACAGGTAGAAATACCGGGTGACTCCATTCATTCATTATTTATTTATTTACTTATTCATTTATTATTTGAGTTTAGAGCCTGAGGCATTAAAACTTGAGGTCTGATGATTGAATGTGTAGGCGATAGTGATAATGATATTGTGATAAATGGTAATGACGAATGGTGGAATAGTTGGTCGAGAAAACGGGAGAAACCCGAGGAAACGTGCTGAGAGACCCATTTGTCCACCACAAATTCGATATTAATTGGCCGAGGATCTAACCCGGACCCCTGACAACGGTGGGCGAATGCGCTAGTAATTACTCAGTGAGACCTCAGTATCTGTAGCTCAACTCACTACAGGATCTGTTAAGCCATTTTGTCACAGGATGCATATTGAGTCATGCGATGCGAGGTAGGTCTTAGTGTCTTGTCTTCTACATACTACATTCAACACTTTTAGGGATCCACGAGATGTCAACAACAAAGTTTATTAAAATATGTTTACTATTAAAAATGAAATATTTTTTTCTAAATAATGAATTTTAAATTCCTTCTATCCTAATACCCATTTCATTCACCTGTAGAAGGAATGAAGACGGCATAAGATTTTCAGAAAGTGTGTATGGCTATTTTTAATTTTGAATATTTCACTAAAGTTTGCGATTGAAATCTCCCGCATCCTTAATCATTACGGATTCCCACAATATATCTGATGCCACAACGAAATTTCAGTTCTATATGTTTATTCATTTCCGGTTTCTGCGAACGACAGCTAAAGGTCATTCTGTAAAAAAGAGGGAACAGAAATACCATGCTATATACCTATATATTATTAAAAACACACTGCATTCATTATACACCAGCCTATACGATAACTCTTCTAAAATACGAGAAAATATGATTAAGTTTTAACGATTCTTGGAAAAACATTTCAAGGTAAAATTTCATTTTAACGCAGTGTAAAGATGAAGGTGAATGAAATGAAATCCGAAGGAAGTGTGCTTCGTGAAGTTACAAAAATCCCTCAGAATTCAGGAAACGTTAAGTATAAAATTCTGGGAAAGGCGTCGTTGCTCACCTTTCTACGTGAATCTCACTTCCGCTCACCTCCTACGTGGATCCACCCCTTGTCAAAACACAATCACCCTCTGAGGATATGTAAAGCATCTCCGTAGTCGGAGAAGGAAGCGCCCTTTTGTTGCCGGCACTTGATCGCCCCCCGTATCATCGGAATTGCTGTTCGCGGAGGGTGTAACTTCGCCTAAACTTCAATAACTTTCCAACCATTCAGCAATTGACACCGAATTTCTATTGGACATTGTCGAAAATCCGGTGCTTGGAGCGAAAACTTTTAATTGATCTAGCCACAAGTGTAGGTGGATGGTTAAAAGAGAAAAAGGATTAATTTAAAAGCACTGAAGATGTTAGGAAGTCCATTCCGTTCATCAAAAGTAGAGCACAATTACTAGGGTGTGCGTCTAAACGGAAGTACTGAACAGATTCAGGTATTAGATTTTAATAAATGCATAGGAAGTTATTTGAGTGTAGGATGTTACACAGATTTTCCCAGATAGCATTTCTGAAAGACCAAAGTTCACTTTTATATTCTTCTTTCAACATGTATATTGTGTTTCGGAAATACATTAAACATATTAAAATAAATTATACTTTCCTGCGCTTCAAGTGCTTCTTTGTAGTCTGGTTTCTTTTCTGGAAACGAATCTACGAGAATTCAAAACATCTCAACGTGACATTCAGTCTCAAAGAGCTGGAAAATGAATATCCGAGATGTGTTACTGAATTAATTTCTTATGAGAAATTCATGATATTTTTAATCTCTCGGCTTTTATCTTTTATTTCTAATGTGATTTAAACGTTTTATCTCAGTCGTGTAATTTGATCCTGTTTATAAATTTAATTGGATCCATTTTTGTAGCAGCCCTTGCTTCCGTCCTCTCAAGCATTTATCTTCGTGCCTGTTCGACACGCAGAACTGCACTAGACTCCGACGTTCCGTTTGTTCACGGTTGGTACGTTCCAAGTCTCCGAAACTCTAGCTACGCTGTTTCTTCTGCTATCAGCCTCTCGACACTCCTTAATCGGTGTGCGACCTTAATCGTTGTTACGCTTGGCATCAACTCCTGCTATCTCCTTTTACTTATAGTTCACAGAATTCAAAAACAATATTGTATCTGGCCAAATTTTTTTAACATTGTCTTTGAATATTATATTAAAAATATCTCCTTTTGTAAAGAATTTTAGTAATAGAAAAAATCTGACATCTTCATTTCATAAATGCTTTTTTCAAAAGTCCCCATGTAGTATTATTGTTTAATGAATTGGATTTATTGGTGTACTAACTGACTCCTTATCAATAAACGATATTTTTCCAACGTGGATTTAAGAACACTGTGATTGTTAATGGGAAACAAAATATGTTTCGGCGCTTGTACTTTATATAATAAAAATATAATCATAAATTCTTAAATTATTTAAACCAAAATAAAACAAATAATAATTTCGTACCAAAACTGCTATAAATTGCAAATGTTTGATTATGGTTTGTTTTGATACTTAAATGTATAATGAAAAAAGTATTGTTCGATAGATGTATTCATATTTTTCAGTCCGATATAAAATTGTTCTATTTTCTCTGAGGCAGCTCACAAAATAACGGAAGGAAATCTATTCCACACATTTTTCTACGCTAATTGTTATCTGAACATTCCAT